AAAGTTATTTTATAACTCTAGCACTAATCGTAAGCCGAGTATTTCCCTTAAAAATGAATGAAATATTCGTGGGTTATTTGTATCTAGAGATATGCAAAATTATATACAGTAATAAAGACACCGTGGATAACATTCAAGGTATATCTGAAATAAAGTTTAAAGAAACACATATCTGTACCGTTATAATCAAGTTTAAAACAGGATACCTTAATATAGTACAATCAAAATTTAAACGATTGTCTTGATTGATTATCAGAAATTACAGTATAGGTATATATAAATAATTACATATCCAGAAATATTCTGTGTAACATTTGAAAATAATTAGTATGCAGATGTAAGTACATACACCACCGCTCAAAAAATTTGTATTATTATCTATGGCAGGGCTGACGAACTGGCTGCCCCTTCCCTTACTTGCCTGTTCTACCACAGTCGTAGGGGAATAACCCCCTCCATACCTATTTGACTTCAGAGACTTGTGTTCTTGCGACGACTAGCGGCTCGTGAGCCGTACGTAGTAGCTCCTGCTCCCGCATGGTGGGGACTTTGCGGCTCCCGGCGGAAAAGATGTTCGTCAGCCCTGACCTATGGTGGTATTAATTGTACAGGATGTTCGGTAGCATCGGTGGAAAGTTTAAGGGATGATTCTGAACGCGAAAATAAGACGAAAACGAAGAATAATAAAATGGTGTTTGAGGCTTCGTTTTTTAGTTATTATGCGCCCAGAGGCAGGCAACTTTTATGCGCCGGTCCAGGCCAGTGCCGTACCAAGCGAGGAAAGACACGTTTATTTTACAGGGTGTCTATCGAAACAGTTGCCCCAATTTTTTAGGCACTTCCGATAATCTGACAAAAAACTGTTATGAACAAAAGTTTTTATGCGCCAGTCGAGACCAGTGCCGTATCAAGCGAGAAATGCAAGTTCGTTTTACAGGGTGTCTATCGAAACAGTTGCCCCAATTTTTTAGGCACTTCCAATAATTTGACAAAAACAAAGTTATGAACAAAAATTAGTGAAAAACAGTTTCAAAGAAACAGTATTTTGACAATTTGTTGCCGATCGAGTGCTGACTAATTTTTGTTTATAACATTTCTTTGTCAGATTATAGAAAGTGTCTGAAGAGAAGCACTTTGTATATGTTGCTGTGTTCACAAAAGTAATAACAGATATTTCTCTTGAGCACCGCTGGGTGCTTGACACGGCTAAAACAGAGGAGCCTTCTCCACTGCTGTTTCTGTTGCGACGGAACGAATCAAATGGACTCGCAATAAGTATGCAAATACATTCAAGAAAGTGTCCCTAAAGTACTTCATTGAACTTTAGGGACGTGAAATGTACCGGCATAAGAATGTTGCACAGCTATAGGTCTTACGAATGTTCTCTTTCGAGTTATATCTCTTTAAAGTTGCACATCAGAGAAAGCGCCTAAAGTAGGTTACATGAACAAGAAGGTAAGCTTCTCATAATGTGATTTCGTTCAATTTTTAATCGAGAGATCCTCACGATACAACTTTAAATATCGGGCTTTGTTGGTTAATAACAAGATTTTGTAAAATAATGTGACAGATCGAAATAAACAAATATCAGGATGGTGTTTACGAAGCTATTGTATTAAATGTATGTACAAATAAACGTAGAATATGAAAGGATAAGAAAGTTTAACTTTCTGGATGATATTTAAGTTTGGCGCATCACCAAGTGATATTATTATAGTCTTTTATGACGGACAACTACAAACACGTGGGTTTAAATGAAAACGAAAATGGGAAAATAATAAGGCAAGAAGCAGTAAATTTTTTATATGACGAAAAAACGAACTATTTATTGTGACTCTGAAAGCTCAAATTGCTTTATTGCAACAAGCATTCCAAACTATAATAGTACACACGTCAACAACCTTTAATTTGTTATCAAGGTCACCTTTGTGTTACTATTGATATTTACAAAGTGATAACTACACAATCTTCTCTAATTCCATTATTTATATCGTTAATCATCACGGGGCCATACCGATACTACACGTTGTTTAGTGTAGCTTTTAAATTCATGGCCAAATAATAGGTTCTTTATTAATTCATGAATAACCATTCACCTATCTTACTTACAAGTCTTAAAAATGAATTGTTAATTCTCGAATTGTTAATTTATTACCACAATACCATACTTAAAACACATATGATCGTTTTTACTTGACTAAAAATAAATGACAAATGTAAATGTGTACAAATATACGATGCTATTTAAAAAACCAAAAGTTATTTTTAAATAATCGATTTTTTCATTTAAACAAATTGTATTTTTTATATTTTAATATACATAACCGAAACGAAAATGTATTTATAAATTTATATTTTGCAATGATATTCTTTACTATCGTATTCTTTTAATGTCAAATCATATTTCACTACAACAATATAAAGGTAAAAGTTATATTAACTACAGTATTTACAAATGTATTATATCATAATTTTCCGATGGAACAGATTTGTAATTCGAACGACGCCCTTATATTTATTTAAACTATAAAAATAATAATTTTATAATTGAAGAAACATAAGAAAAAGCATATGTATATTAATAATAATCGTCGCAATAATTATATTGATAATAACTTATTCGTTGTTATACATACATGGATTTTATTGTTGTACTAGACACTTGAATTTTTCACATATTGTTATTAACATAAGCGGAATCTTTACTACTTCCGCTTTCTGAGTGAAAATTGCGGCTGTAACGCGATAGCATTTCCACTAAAGTCTTTAGATTTTACAAATTTATTAGGCTCATATTCCATAGATTATCTTTAATAAATCCTTCAGTTTTTATTCGTTTGTTCAGGCCTGAAAATTACACCTCGCAACGCGTATATTTAAATGAAGCAATAAATCTCTCCTCTCCAATTATAGGCTTATCTGGAACATAACGCTTGAAATATTTAAGAATATAGTAACTCGCAGGACTTTATCCCTCTGCAAAAATCTTGTATAAAAATTTAGTAAGTAACGAATAACATGATTTTATTCCCGGATACTCTATTTTTAGAGTCTAGCATTACGAAGATTGTTAAAGGAAGTTTCATATCGATGAAGTTTATACCGATTTTCCCGTGTAGATTTATCAACAATTCTACCATAAGATATAAAATTCAAAACCCACATTTATAATTGTGCAAATGTAATTAAGGAAGTTACTAAGATTTACCGTTGATTTGCAGTATATAAATTTGTTAGAACAGAAACTTACATAGATATAGTTTCTTTCATATTGCAAATAAATTATTCTCAAATCACGTCAATTATTCTCAATCTCTATCTCTAACAGTTTTCGAGATATTATGTCAAATATGTTAACCACCCCAACTTTATGCACGATCTTCATCCTTTCAGTGTGGACGATTATCGATAAAAAAGAGTGGGATATTATTTTTAGAAACTACATTGTACTGAAAAAAAAAAAAAAAAAAATAGAGTTTCCAGTCCAACACTTTTTTACACACTGTGTATAAGATATTTTCTGTGCGAAGATATAAGGTTACGAATTTTTCAAAACAAAAATTTTCTGCATGACTACAGCGTTAAAAATTACATAAAGATGCATATTCACAAAAGCTTATCTGACAAGTAACTAGTAGATGACTAGTAGTGCCCCCTTTAATATAGCTTCACAGCTGATTTTTCTTATTTCATGACGTGTCACTAATGAAATACTTTGTATATAATTCTCTAACGTAAATTCGACTTTAGGTAGAATAGAACTTTTATTGCAAATATTTCAATAAATATCTACTTTACAGCTATTATACTTTAATACACATTTACTCAGTTTTTAATGCTATGGCGGTTGGTTATGGAAGGAGGAAATAAATAGAGAGAGGATAGGTGGAAAAGTAAAGGGAAAGAAAATGTGTGTTTCGTCCTGGGCCTCTTAGTGGACCCGTCGGTAAGGCTATCTAGAAAACAACTGCCTTAAACGCGGAGGATGATTAGACTTATGTTAAAAGTTGCTTATTACGGATTAGTACACTATTCTGCGTGACTTTGTCCTCGAACGGAACGAGAGAACATCGCTAATACTAAAGTGAGAAAGAATTATACATATTTTATTCTTCTTCTACTAAACGACGTCACTCTGACGAAAGATTTATGGCTTCTCCCTTTCACGGATTTCTCATTCAGCGGGCGACTTCAAATAGAGAAGGCAGATAACAGTTGCTTATTACGAATCAAGACTGTATTTAGTTATGGAAGCCTTGGGCGCGGACTAGTGAGAAAGGTTGATATTTTGTCAATTAGTTTGTCTGGCCCCCTCTGGTGGTGGAATGTAGGAATTACCGCCACAATATCCCCTTGCCAGTGGTTAACGATGTGATAATGACCGTCCGTGTTTGTTTTTCCGCTGCGTGTTAGGCGTGGTTGCAACGGTGGATATTGCTGCTACAGGTGCATCGTTGGAAATACTTTACTTTATATATTGAGGCTAATTGTGTTGTTCAAGCTAAGAGTTGTAGCCGTATAATACTCTGCTGTCCCAGCCTGGCCCACAGTTTAAGAATGCGTGGCTGACCGGCTCTCTGTTAGTGTCGTCAAACATCATCCCAGAAATTGCGGTGTTGCCCGAACCCGCCGTTGTGTCGCTGCGATCAGCGTCTTACAATTAGTTGCATGGCCACCCTAGGAGAGGGGTTACGTATCCTAGTAAAGAAATGTAGCAGCATCTCCATCGGCTTCCGTCAATGGTGTGTTCCTCTTTGTCGATTCGTATTT